CAGTTTTAAATAATAATAAATATGCATATGAACTTCATAAAGATTCTCAATGAGCAAAATATGTAGGTGCACCACAAAACAACATTTCCCTTATAAAGCATGAACATATATGGTAACAGAGATCTGTACCTGGTGACAATACAGATATCCAGCACCACGGCGGAACTTCAAGTCAGAAAACTTAGTCTTGTCCATGTCAACAGCTCTGAAACTAGACAATTGTGAGCCCGTTACATCCCCTACGACTGCCTTTTGCTTCTTTTTCAATTCTCCAGCTACAATGCTTTCCCATTTCTCAAGTGCATCGTCCTTAGAATCTTTAAGCCAATCGAATATAGGTTCGCTATAATCAACCACAAAGGGAACCCTCAAATCATTGCAAAATGTATCCTATATAGGATAGCAACATACTAGATTTTAGTCATAATACTATCTTCATCATGGAACAAAGAATTGATGAACAGATTTCTTACTTCTACAAGGAAGTATGCTGAAGGATCATGCTGACTAGCTTTTTGCATCACATGGTCTGTCAAGCAGTCGCTCTTATCCCTCAGTTCAGTCAAGGTTTGTTGTCCAAGGACCAATAACTCTTGGTTCTGCAAACGATCTTTCTATGTCAATAAATCAGGAATTTGAGGCAAGAATCATGAGATTAAGCAAAAAGAGTACTGCATAAAAAGAGAATACAAAGGACGGAAAGCTAACTTCTTTTTTTCCGGTCTACCATTTCCCTCAACAGTACTAAAAGGAACCAGATGGATATATGTACATAACTCAGATGAAGAAAAAAAGAATGACAAGTCTAATGCACGACAACTTTGGTCTTGTTCCACTCTCAGTGGACTCCCAATTTATTGAAGGTGATTCAGCCACAAGGGACCTAAAAGCCTATGTCTAAGAACCTAGCGAACTCAAACCAATTCCAAAATAAAAGCAGCAGATCCAGTTGTTCTTTAGGCTTAATTCTGAGACCTTCCCATCACAGAGTTACACGTACCATGAGTTTCTTACATCTTTGTATAAGCCAGCTAGGTTTGAGCATGGAAATCTGTCTTTGGAGTTTCTGGTCAATGTTTGTATCCCATGTAGTGTGTGCCTCATAAAAATGAAGAATTGCACTTGCACACATCTCAATCATAGAGAGATGTCAGATATTTCAACCCTACAAATCAGAAGCCAAATAAAAGTGCTCGCATTAAACCTTGACTAGTAGGAAATATACAACTGAAAAACACCAAAACCAAGACCTATTCTATTTGACATCAGCAAGATAACGCTTTAGAAGATGCTATACCTTAAACCTTTTTTGCACATTTTGGTAAACCTCAATGGAAAGAGCAACTTCTGGATATTGCACAGGTACATATTCACGAGCGCTGGATGACTTCACCTAATTTGCATAAGCGGGGAAACAAATTGACAAATCACCAATCCGAGAAGTCAGAGTCGGCAAATTGAATATAACGGCATGAAAACATGTAATTCAGAGGCAAAACCAATAAAACGAAGGGCTTATATAGCCATTGGTTTCAACAATCAGATCTGGACAACATGAAAGCTACAACTTATTCTAGGTGCAACTGGCATTTGCCTCTAAATGTACAAACTGGGTTCTGATAATTTTGAAATATGACTAGAGACCACAGTACATCAGTTTTCAGGATAGCCATAAAGTCCGAACAATTAATTCAAACCACAGTACATCAGAATAGCCATAAAGTTTGTATTGGTAATTTCTTCATCAACTTGATAAGTGAAGGACAACCGTTAAGCAGAATCTCTGTTCATTTCATCTGTGAGTTATATCACACAGTCAATGTTACTGTTCAACGGAAGAGGGAGGGAGGGGGGAAGGCAGGTCAGTCTCTTTTTTTCGATAGAAAAACAATTCAACGAAAATTCACGATAGCAACTTCTACTGAATGAATCAAATTATCAGTCATACAAAGCTTCCCGAGGCAAAATCACCAAACTTGTTATTGATACCGTTTAGGATTTAATTATGTAGCATCCCCTAGAGACTTAAACCAATCATTGACGATATTTGATGATTGGCTTCCTTTTTCCTCTGCATCAAATGGATGCATGTCTTCAGGGAGATTGCAAATGTGGGCGTTCCCAATCAAAACATGCACATTTGGGATAGGTCCATCTCTAACGTAGCTACTAATACTCTGATATTTGATTGTATTGAAACTGATTATACTAGAGGTTTTTCCGTTTGAATGAACGAATTTTGTTTCTGAAGGAAAAAAAAACCTTGCATTTGTGCAACATTTGACCAAAGATTTCAAATGTACAATCATCTTGGCCAAAACTTGAATAGTAAAGATCATGTGCTGTTGTAATCACTAGCTTCATGTTGGGACACAGCATCTTCCAATGAATTATTCACTTTCTGTTTCTCCCTTTTCTTTCCCCAAAGAGTTGCAAACAAACCAAGAACGATCAAGAAGGCTCCTAAAATACTGAAAATGTCCAAAATGTTAAGGTGTGTTAAATTGAAGATCCCAGACTAAATGAATTCATATAAAATCAGCCACCAAAAGATTCCAGGGGCAGTTTGATAACCGTTTCGTTTTTTATTTTCAGTTTTCAAAAAAATAAAAATAATGAAATGGTTATCAAACGGCCCGGGCCTGTAAATGTTGATCAATACAATGCACTGCACGAAGTAAAAGGTGGATAAATGTACTGATTCTAAATGTAGAGATTTGGGATCCGTAAATTGATCATGACTCGACTCAGTTTAGAAATACCTTCCCATGTATAGAGCTTCTCCTAAAATAAACAATCCCATAATAGCCGCAACAATCGTAGCCAGGGGTCTAAATGCTGTCATGAAAACTGGACCTCTTGTTTTTGCTACCAAAGTCTGCAGATAAATCACAAGTCCCAAAATCACAACTCCCTGCAAAAAAGGTTTCACCTCCTCAGATTTTCCATGAGCTGAGCAGTAAAAACATTAGACAGTTAAAAGATCAGTCTTCGGAGTTTGGATTCTTACACTATACACAGAAGCAAGAAGTGTAATGTTCCATGACAACTTCCAAGAGGATGCTTTGTGATCGAGAATCGCTGCCATGATCCCCGTGAGTAAAGTCCCCGATAAGCAAGTAAGGTAAGCGTGATTGGTGCTGGATACATTTCAATTGTTACCGTCTGCATCAATAATATTACGTGGCTATGAGAATTGTGACAAAACTTGTTCATTTAAGATGTTTTTTCAAGCACCTGTAAGCTGTAGAATGCAGATAATGCAAAATATGAAACAAGAAGGACAAGAGAGCCCTTTATCCAGTCTCTGTCTATGGATGGTTTTGAGGTAGCTGTGGTTCGATGGGAGCCTTCAGTGTGCATTGAAATCACAGCAATGCCCTTGTATAGGGTCATCAGCGTCGCGCCAGCAAAACCAACAAGAGTTCCCCCAGTCTTTGCTTGCGTGCCAAGCTTCCCAATATCGAATTTCTCCATCCTGAGTACATCATGATGCAAATCCTTAAAATCCTAATGCAAAAATCATTTGACTTCTACGTGTGATCAAATGGATTGCATTACCTGCACAAAACTGCTATGATAAAGGTAATACATGGAATAAGGTTGCTCACGGCAGTTCCAAAAGCCGCTGAAGTGTACTCGAGTCCCATGTAATTCAATATTCTTCCAAACACTCCTCTAAGATACACACGAAAATTTAGAGGATTAATCAGAATTAGATTACTTGTTCAGAGTTCAGCAAGCTTCCCACCCAAGGAAGCCCAAGAAGAAGACATTTCGCAAGACTGGAACACTGATTTTGCTCTCGCTTTGTCTGCCATGAGATAGGTTACAATTAATGAGAGGAGAAATTCACATCGGATACAACATAAACGAAAATACAAGAAGAATGAAAACTATGTTGACCTCTCGAAACTTAGGGCAAGAAGAGCAGTTGTCAGAGTTCCGAAAACATGTGAATAAACCACAAGCACATAACAGCTCATGCCTTTTGTCTAGAGAGACCTTGGAGACAACACTGAACCCTGCAAAGCATATGTTAGAAAATATGCAGAGGATGTATGGTTTCGAATTCTCGATTACTCTCTCCCGCCTACCGTTTCCTTCGATCGCTGTGTCTCTCAGTCGCTCTTCCATTTGCATTCTCCTTTGCAAATGCCAAATTCTTCTCAGTGACTTGCCTTATATATCAATTTTAGGGGCAATTAAGGATTTAAATTAATGAGACTTGCTAAGTTGATTCACTTGACTAACCTTTAAAAAGAAAACCAAGTGCTTTGTGACTATGATTATACTCACAAGAGCTATTTCAGGTCAAGCTCTTTGCACAATACATGAAATTGTTCCTTCTCGTGTAAATTATTTATCATGTTACAACTGTCTACCTTGTACAAGGGAATACATACATGTATCATTCGTCAAATTTTGAAAAGAAGACCGATATGACACCAAAAATGTGCGGATATAATACAAGAGAACATGTTAAATAGCTTCATTTCTATTTCTCGATTTCGTTTCGGTATAGAATTGTGTATAAAGAGCTGTCTACACAGCTCCCACGTTGCTGAAAATGCACAAGAGTTGAAAAGGGTGGAACTTTAGTACTACAACAATTCAAGAAACACTCCTTGGCTAATTAAGCAATTGATGCATGACTAAGGATACATGCCTAACAAGTGGGAGACTTGTAGGTCTCAAAGACTCCTAATTAAACTTGGCATGAGGTTTAACTTGTGGATGTCAATTAACTTATTAACCACATGGTCACACTAATCAAACGATACTTGAGATCGTTGTCGTTTTAATTTAATATTTTTTCATTAATAAATAAGAGATTCGAACTTCGGATATCTTCTAATATTAATAAAAGTACAATAATTTTTGTTAAATGTTAGTACAAACGTAGTCATAGCCATTTTTGCTAGGATTCTGCACCCAAAGTCAAATTTGCTGTTTTGAAAAATAACTCAAATAATAAAAAGAATTTGTGTCAAATCCATGGTTGTTAAACCCTTCTCTAAAACCCTCCATTTTCAATTGGGAGAACAAAGCAGTAAACATGAGTATCAATCTGTCTCTCCGCCACCGCTCTTTCGCATACCTCAATCGCCGCCTCTCCTCCTCGCCCTTCTCCACCAGCACCATCTCCAAAATCCCCACCCTTTACGAACCCACCGCCGCCCCCACCACCACCCAAAACGACGCCGTCCCCACCACAACCCTCCAACTCCTCTCATGGGGCAGAGGCGCCTCCGGTCAGCTCGGCGGCGGCATCGAAGAAATCCGGCTCTACCCAACTCCAGTCGCCAACCTTGTCGTTCCCACCTCATCCTTCACTCTTTCACCAACCCAGGGCCGAATTCAAGCACCCAATTGCTCGAATCAAAAGAACAATGCCGACAGCGGTGTTGTGGAGGTGGGTATTTCTTGTGGGTTGTTCCACTCATCGCTGTTGGTGGATGGTAAGCTTTGGATTTGGGGTAAAGGCGACGGCGGTCGACTTGGTTTTGGGCATGAGAATTCTCTGTTTCTCCCGACTTTGAACCCCAATTTGGATTCGGTTCGCTTCGTGGCGCTTGGCGGGTTGCATTCGGTGGCGCTCACCGCCACCGGGGAGGTCTATACTTGGTCAGTACAATAGTAAAGATTACACATTTCTAGCAGTTTATCACAGGATGTGTTGCCCTGCATTTCGTTGGTTGCAATCAATTCGGTTTTCCTTGTTGTTTTCAATTTGCACAAATATTTACTGCTTTGATCTTATTGAAAGAGGAAGTATTGTATCGAATTCACGGTTTACCTGTATAGAACATATTGTGGCAATGAGCAGAGTCAGCCCATAACTCGTAAAGTTCGTTTCTTCGCGAGAGTAATCGTTTCTACTCTCAACTATATGCAGTTAAAAGTTCTTTTTTAAGAGTAAAATTGCCCAAAACATTCGCTTGTTATAAGTTGAAAGACCAATTTACTATTTACTTCTCCAACCCGCATGGATTTTATCAAATTCTAACACATTCAATAAGTTTGAAAGAATTATATTGTTTTCGTGTGTGCTACAAATCTTTGTGTTCATTGACCATATTGCTCTATCGACTCATGGTTGTCATTAAACATGAAGCTTGCAGGGGTTATGGTGGTTTTGGTGCACTGGGGCATTCTGTTTATACTAGAGAGTTGTTCCCTAGATTGGTAGAAGGATCGTGGAGTGGGAAAATACGTCATATTTCGACTAGTGGGACGCATACTGGTGCCATCACGGAATCAGGTTTGTTGCAGTTATTTTTTACTGGAGTAAATGTGGTACTGCGTGGATCCAACAAATTAATGGACTCCAACCTCTAGGATAGGAAGAATTTAAACTAATATGTTGCAGATGGCATGAATTTCAGATTCTCACTCCTCTCTGGCTTTCTGCATTCGTATTCCAGTATGAAGATTATGTTTATATGTTTGATTTGTCGTTACATATAATAGGCTATTGCTAATTGGATGTAGCTTGTAGGAGAACTTTATACTTGGGGTCGAGATGAAGGGGATGGTAGATTGGGACTTGGTCCTAATCGAGGCCCAAACGAGGGTGGTGGACTCAGCATACCCTCCAAAGTAAAAGCATTACCTATGCCTGTGACTGCTGTTTCTTGCGGAGGTTTTTTCACAATGGCACTGACAGAAGATGGGGAACTTTGGAATTGGGGAGGTAAGGTTGCAGCCTCTTATGCGGAAAGTGTTTGCTTCTTTCTTATATAAGTGAATTAAATTTATTTACTGTAACTTCACCACATACTGCCAATGCTGAGTAAGTTTTGTATAATTATTGTAGGAAATGGTGTTATTGTTTTCAAAGGTTCTCCAAAATATTTGATTCATTACTGAATGAGTTAATGGAAATTCATTTCAACCTGTAAATTTGACAAATGGAGATAGCCATAAGGAGATAATAAAAGGCTAGATTTAGTTTATTTTAGCAATCCTGAGGCCATTGGAACATCTGTGAGGGAAGCGTTGCTGTTACTGTTAAATTAAGGGGATTAGCTAATTGGCTCTTGATATTATTGCCATCTTTGAGACTTATGACTGACTTTAAATGCTCCACTTTAATGAATTTATTGTGTTTTCTTGTTATTTCCTCAGCAAACTCTAACTATGAGCTTGGAAGGGGCGATAAGGTTGGTGGTTGGACACCAAAACCAGTTCCTAGTCTTGCAGGCATTCGTATTATTCAGATAGAAAGTGGTGGATATCATTCTCTTGCGTTAACTGGTAAATTGACTGCAGCAGCAACTATTATTGTCTTTAGTTCTGGAAAGGTTAAGTCTTATTAATGGTCCTTCTTTCTTGGTGTTTAATTTTCAGATGAAGGTAAAGTACTTTCTTGGGGCCATGGTGGTCATGGTCAGTTGGGCAACTCTTCTTTACAGAGTCAGAAAACACCTACAGTTGTTGAGGCTTTAACTGATGAGCGTGTTATCTATATTGCTTGCGGGGGTTCATCTTCAGCAGCTATAACAGGTAATGACTCGTGCCTTATTGGTACTGTAATCAATTAGGTCTTAGAAATACTTTATTGTGGCGCTCAAATGTGTAAATTCCTTGCATCCTCTAATTTTACATTCCACCAGAGCATTTATCATGAGTCATAAATGTTTTGGCTTTTGGTTCAAAAAAGTAAGCGTGAAACTTTCATACATTCCTGCTGAGTGCCCATCTTTTGTTTCGTAACAGATAAAGGAAAGTTGTTTATGTGGGGATACACCAAAGACTCTCAGCTAGGAGTACCTGGGCTGCCGGAGATCCAACCATCTCCTGTTGAAGTCAAGTTTTTAATGGAGGATGATGGACTGGGAGCCCACAATGTGCTGTCTGTTGCAGTTGGTGCTTCCCATGCCATGTGCTTGGTTTCAAGGTCGGTTTGTCAAAAATTTCACGGTGATAGTTACTAATGTTTTCCTTCTCTCTAACCTATTTAGATTCGCAACAGGGATGAATTGTCCAACTGAGCTAGGAGAAAAATGAAAATCTATGGTGCTGAAGTAAACTGATTTGAGATTATGAAGATTATCGCATGCGAGAAAGATGACGTCTAGTCAAGATATACAAGAAATACGATACATGAAATAAAATGTGAACGCTTCAGTGCAATAAGTTGCTGCCCTTCCTTGCTCTGGCGTAAGTGCTACATCGACCGTGTGTTCCAACTCAACTTGCTTAAAATTACTCAAGGAAACCTGCTTCCAAATGCAACAGATCAGAGCCTGTTGCAAGGATATACAGACATTGACAGAACTCAGTTATTGAAAACACATAAGAGCTTCTCAGTCTCTTTAAATTACTGGCAGAGGTGGTAGATATCTTATACATTCTTGTAACGTATGGTGGTTCTTTGTTGTACCAGTTGCTAGACTGGCCCAAACTTTACTACAAATTTTCTTCGGCTGTGATTGTCCGGCAATTATTTTCATGATTTCGTTTCCAGTGCAATTTGAAAGTGCATTTTTTTCCCCATGATTTCGTCACCAATAGCTTTCGAGTTTCTCTTGCTTATTGTATTTACTTCTTCAATGTTTTCTTGAGGAGAGATTCTGTCTTTATCACCGCTGTATATATCTCTCCATGTAAGTAGGTCATGATTATGTCAAGGCAATTTAGCCAAAATAGTTTCTGAGACTAGCATAACGCCTTACTTTGGTTCCTGAAATTTGAAATCGATAGAAGTAATCCTTGAGTTTGTCCATCGTTAATCGTTTTGTTCATTTTGTGAAATCTCTGTTAGATAAGTATCAGAATGACAAAAATACTCTTAATTTAATAAATAATGGGCCAAATAATTTGATAAATTTTGAGGGTGGTTTTTTCATTTTGGTTCGTATTTAACGAACATTTTTCACTTAATGATCAAAATGATTGACTATAGACAAACTTAGGGACAATTTATTTCGATTTTAAATCTTAAGGACCAAAGTGAGGAATTATGCTACTCTCAGATCCTCAGGGACTATTTTGGCTAAAGAGTGGTGTGAAATACACAAGGAGATTTATACCGATGACAACATGGGTGACATTAATAGTGTCAATTGGTATCTCTAAGACTAACGTGTCAAGTAACCATGTTCTTGGAGAGAACATACATGAAATAGCTTCGTTGTCACGTAGTGTCTCAATTCAATACTGTAATGACGTACGGAGAAAAATTTCACATGACATTACAATTTTGGATAAGGATGTTACAATAGGAGTGAGCCTATTATGTGTAAGTCATAGTTTGGTTGTTGTACCGTGATTTTCACTGCTTTCATGGCCTTTTCCATGAAAATTTTAAAACAGCTACTTGCTAAATTTTATTTTTAAAATACATTATTTGGGTAAAATGGATCCAACATTTTCTGCACGTCATCGTACATTCACTTGGCTTTGCTTTCGTCTGCTGATGTTGATTGAGGCTTTCACTTGCCATGGTTGTTTTATAATTTTCGTGACATGACAGAGAGAAGGACATCATTTTCCTTGGCTTCAACGCTAACTTCGTTAAAAGCTGGTTTTTCCCCAGCAGATATATATCTCATGGTCTGGCGAGGTGGTCGAGCCATGGCGCAATAAAAATATTATTTGATCAAAAGATTATGAGTTTAAGTCGTAAAAACAGTCTATTTGTAAAGTAAAAATAAGATTGCGTACGATATATGTTTCTCTCCCGACCCTCTCAAAGCCGAAAGCCTTATTGATTTGGGATACCCTTTAGAGATATATCTCATGGCCTAGCCATCAACACCACCACCGAAAGCAAACTAATCGATAAGGACCTATCTTTCTTGTCGCCCTTATACCAAGAGAAGGATTATCTTCCCTCTTAATCTCTTCCATTATCTCCCCTCGTACTTGAACAATTACGATTGAGCCACGTAAGCATTTTATACTGAACTTTTTATGGGGACAAAAAGACACAAAGCAAAGTGTGAGAGGAAAGAAGGGAAGGGGATAAGAATAAAAGGTGATATTCCTACTCCCTTATACCAATTGAGTGGATTCACTAACTTGGAGATAAAAAGGCTACCACAACACTTAGATTCAGCCATCGATATAAAGAAAATGAGTCACGCGACTAACATTAGCATTTCTTATAAACTTGTATTTATTAATGCAAAAACACCATTGACGGGGTAGTGCAACACGACTAGCTGGGCGATCAGAACTCTCAGAAGGGAATGGGCCATACTGTATTTGGTTGCTATGCGGCTCATCTTGGTCAGGTGCTTTCTCCAACTCCGCTCTACGCGTAATAGATTGTTGACTAAATACCTTAAACAAACTAATGTATAAGGTAAGTAGCCAATGACAACTAACAAAAGTTGCGTAGGCAATGTATGTAGACTTAATTTTTGCTCGAGACGGGAAGAAAATAAAAAATTCTGAATCCGCCACAAACACGCGACAACGAGATCGTTGGCGTACCTCGTGGAGCAGTGAATTAATGTTGGGTTTTGCATTGGACCTCTGGCCTCTAGGTGACGTGCATGCATGGATATGTGATATGTGGATCACAAAGGAGCTGCTTTGGCATGCCGAGATCCGTTTGGTACGTGACAAACTTCAATTATGGCTTGGCTGCCTCACACCTCTCACGACAAACATTTAAGAATATTATTATTAGCCCCATTAATATTTGTATTTATATTTCCCCCCTTCCTTGCATGCATGAAAATATATACATGATTCCTTGGGTGTATTGTCACAATAATCTTGAAAATATATCCATGGCATGTCAATGGTAAAAAAAATACGTTTGCCACGTCACGTCACATCACGTCATCAATCCGTTATGGGTTATAAATATATTATATCACATATTATTTTCTTTCATGTTTTGTCTTCGTCGATAAAGAGTGAGAATTCATACATAAAATATTTTTTAATATTGAAAAAATAAGTATTAACATGTTAAAATGTGACAGTTAATGTATCAGCCCTAGTAATCAGTCGGAATTTTTGGGTGCACACCGGAACCCGGATCCTCTCCAGATCCCAATAGTCTGAATTTAAGAATTCAACGATTCGAACCATTGAAAGTTCATATAACGACTACAATTATTCTAACTTTTAGAAGAATCTCTTATTTGTAACCATTGGATCAAATTTCAACGATTTGGATCGTTGAATCCTTAAGCTCAGATTTATAGGGATCCAAAGAGGATCCGGGTTCGCACATGGGAGGCACTTGGCGACAAATGTAAAAATAAAAGACACGTCAAATTAATTTTTAAATTTAAATTTCATGCACGATAATTATATAGTGAAAGTAAAACGAACATAATATTTTCCTTTTACTATTTTCAAATACGAACACAAATCACAAAACAAATGTGGAAAACACAAATATGTAAATATATGAGTAATGTTATTCATACCATATCTTTGTACCACATTTTCATACTACCTTAAGTGACATTTAATGTGAACAGTCACATCATTTGAATTATTCAGATTTTTAAATTTAGTTCATTATTTAATAAACTAATAATTAAGAAAAACTAGTTAATTAAATGATGATTGTGGTATACGAGGATTCTTTCTCCTTTATTTCCTTAGGTTATGCAAATTTTTCAAATGATATAGCTGTCCTACATTATATGCTAGCTAAGATAGTAGAAAAATATAGTATAAAAACATAGTATGAATAACATTACTTTAAATATATTTAGACTAAAACGAATTAATAATGTTAATAAGTTGCTCAAACCTCCCTAATTATAGTAGCTAAATCATTAGTTCTCCACATTAGCCGTAGTTAAACACTGAGCACTGCGACGCCGGCCGCGACAGATCCGTTCCTGCGTTGGCCGGGCACGCCTCCATCCCCACCGGCGGCACCATGCAGTTGTAACTTAAGCACAACGACACCGTATCGGGCAACATCGACCCGGGCTCCACCGCGAACCGGGAAATGTAATTGTGTTGCAGGTACAACGTTTTGGTGATCCCCACGCACACGCTCTTAACGTACTCCTTCGGTACCGTCCCGATCAGACGGTTGTTATTCAAATACAAGCTCTCAACACCCGCCAGGATCGGCGACAGCTCACCCGTTATGACGTTGTGGCTCAAATCCACGATCGAACCCTCGCCGTACGATGGCGGCTGGGACAGTACTGGGGGGACCCACCCGGAGAGATTGTTCCGTTGCAACTGGAGGGACTGGAGGTTCGTGCGGAACAGAGTTTGAGGGAGGGGCCCACCGAAACGGTTGGACCCGAGATCTAGGTGGACTAAATCGGCGAGCGAGTCGAAGACGGAGCCGATGGGGCCTGACATGTCGTTTTCCGAGAGCGACACGTAGCGGAGCGTCCGTAGGGAGAGAAGGCGGCAACGGGCCGGTGAGGCCGTTGCGTTTTAAGTCCAGGTGAAGGAGCTGGGACGACACGTCGTAGGGGACCTCGCCGGAGAGGGAATTGGAGGCGAGGATGAGGACCTTGAGCTTGGGTACACGGGTCAGACCCGGCGGAATTGGTCCGGCGAGGCGGTTGTAGCTGAGGTCGAGGGTGTGGAGGTTGGGGAGGAGAGAGAGGGACTGAGGAATCGGGCCGGTGAGGCGGTTGTTGGTGAGGGAGATGACTCGGAGGCTGGCGAGCCGGTCTAGCTGGAAGGGAATAGGACCGGTGACGATTCCGGGGAAGAGAATGAGCTGAGTCAACTCGGTGAGGTCGGCGATGGAGGGCGGGAGCGACCCAGCGAGACCAGGAGAGTCGGAAAGGCCGGTGCCGAGGGTGAGGGTGGTGACGCGGCCGGAGGCGCACGTGAGGCCAGTGAATGTGGAGCAGGGGTCGGGGGCGGAGAAGTTCCAGGTGGAGAAGAACGCGGCGGGGGAGCCGCGGCGGGAGGGAACGTCGGTGAAGGAGTTTTTGATGGCGATCAGGGCGCGGAGATCGACGGTGGAGATTTTGTGAGTTTGTTGGACGGAAGGAGTGAGGAGGAGTGAGAGGAGTAGTAGCGAGAGTGGGAGTGAGGAGTGAGAGTGTGGTTTGGCCATGAGTGACAAAAAAAGTCCGCCGAGGGTTAAAATTGGTGCGGGTTCATGTAATATATGGTGGGAGTGTGAGATGATATAATATAACCGTTGGGTGGCGTAATTATATGGTATGGCCCCAACGCTATTTATTTGGGTCACCTTCTTGACTTGTATTTTTTCGTTTTTTTTTTGTTTTTGGCCAACTTCTTGACTCGATTTATTTTCACTTAGTAATACAGTTTAGTTATACTTATTTTCACTATAAGGTCTTAGGTTCGATTTACAGACAAACTTTGAAGTAGCCACATTAGTTTGAGTCAAGAGTAGATGTGAAGATAATCATGTAAAAATGTGATGTTCTAATATGAAAAATGGAAAACGATATGACTTATATTTCAAGTACTTCAAATTTTACCTTAATCAAAAGATACACTACACATACATACATTATGAGGATCAACAACGCTAATACTATGTAACAATTTGACCGTCGCACCTCCATAACAATCACGTATACGGAGATCCAGCAATTTAGATACTATCCATTTCGTTGTATTAGATCACCCAAATGGATATCATGAAAAATAATGCTAAAAAAGAAGCAACATTTTTCCCACATTCCAATCAATAGTTATATCCTAACCGCTAACCATTGGTCACCATCAAAATCTCTACTAATTAATAACACTTATTATCAACCAAAACCCTATGAAATTATCAGTTTAACTTTCTAATTAAAACAGAACATGAATAAGAAATATGGGGCAGAAATGTAATTTCATACAACCAAATTTTGCTTTTTTTTTTTTTTTTATCAAAACCTCACCTACATATAATCCTAACATATCTCTAATTAAAAAAATAAAAAAACACTGCCCACTACCACATTCTCTATCACTCTTTTCCTCTCTCCTTCTATTTCAAAAACAAAAAAAAAAAACAAAACAAAAAAAAAAAAATTCTCACACATATGCTAGTATACATTAAGATAATATCTAGAGATATTAGTTAATTACTGACTCTTTTTTTTTTTTTTTTTTTGATGATGAAATTAGTTAATGACTGACTAACCCTAGTTAAATCACCTACTTACACAAATTCCACACATCTGGAGACTTGGTTTACTGAATGGCAAATGATGACAAAAGCTTAACAGAACCAGAGATAAGGTAATAAACTCATCACTGCTGCCCAATTGGGTTATAAATTAATAGGATGTCTTTAGATTCAAAAGCATGCATGTTCTAATACTGGTCAAACTATGCATGCATGTTCTAATACTCAAATACTTAAAAAGAGGGGAACGTATGCAGTTTTACAACGAGATTGTTTCCACGACTCGAACTTGTAACATTTCGGTCACAAGAAGCAACATTTCCGTTACACCAAGGCATACATGACAAAATGTATAAGTAATAGCAACGGAAACTGCCTGATAGTTTCTCTTTACTTGCAAATCACAAATTGTAGTCTGATACTTACATAAAAGCAACATGTTTGCGTTATGCACAAGCATGTCAGATTGTGAGTTCTTTGGAATGAAGGACGACTTCTTACACGCAAAGATTCATTTATTTTTACTTGCAAATCACAACATGACACGTACATAAAAGTAATTTACATACGCATGCGAAACAGTAAGTCTTTGCAATAAAGAATAACTCTCGACGGTCTATTCTTAATATTTTGGTACATACATATGTAGTATGGATGACGCATTGTTTATGAGCATTAAAAAAAAGGCACTGGATATAGATATAGAGAGAGATCCAGAGACAGAGGTGAGATGGAGCTTCGTGACGCCACTGCTAGAAAGATGCTCCACTAGTTACTAATTTAATCAGTCAACATTTAAAGGTGAGGACAATAATAGTAAATACAGATGCTGCGAAAATGATACAAGATAAAATATATATATATATATATATATGTAGAAGAAAGGAAGTGTTTACAAGAAAGAGCCAGAGCAGTGTACCCTGCTCTCTCGTACTCTCGTACTCAAATTTGAATCTCTCTTTTTGTAAATTAAAATACTTCTGGTTGGTTAATTCTGGGTTTTAGAAAATGCAGACGACCCATGCCAAATTGGCAATGGTCCAAAAGGCTTTACGAACTGGGAATGTGAGTGAGAGACTGGAGTGAGCATTGAGTGAGTAGGTTCAGTACGTGGGTTTTAAAGGCTGCAAAAATGTTGTCTATAGAGCATGCGGAATGCCCCAAAACACACACACACACACACACACACACACACACATATATATATATATATTTATTTATTTATTTATTATTTTTTGGTCGAAAAGAGAACATTCATTAATTAAAAAAATAAGTACAAACAACAAAAGGCCAAAGCAAAAAGTGAACAACAACCCAAAACATTTAGGGAGGCCCAACCAACATTATGCCTAGCATAAGAAACAAAGCAACAAAAGGAAACCCTAATCTCCAACACACGAGAGCAGCTCGCCGCACCCATGATGCTTGCACAAAATCTCAAATCACACACGAACCATAAGATTAATTTTGAAACACCGAACCAAATCGAACCCTCGAGATTCAAAAAGTTGCCATCAAACACCTGCAAAGAGAACCAGAGAACCAAAAAAAAAAAAAAAAAAAAAAAAAAAAGAAGGGAGGGTCGGGTGTGTAAAACACCCTTGCTACGATGCAAATCGATCCACGCTTCGCCCAAAATACATCTATATATGATGAAGGATTTGGAAGCTGCTTTGGTCTACCTCACTATATTTATTAAGTACAGGAATTCGGTGCTTGTGGAATCTAGCTACCACGGCTAGTTATATATACGAAGACCTATAAATGTTTTGGTTAAAATAAGTATGATTATGAGACAGGGGTTCAGCATTAGGGCAAAAGGATAGAGAAAACATAAGAAGACTTGAACAAAGACTTTAAGAAAAGACATGGAGTACTTGGAGCTAATGAAAAATTTAGCTCAAAATTGCTTGTCTTTCAAAGTAGAAGAAATGGTGTCACGTAATGTTATTAATCCACTCATATTATGATACGTGTATTCATTTATTAATATTCTATTTTCTGTCAATTGTGTTGTCCACCCATGTTATCACACATGATTTAGTAAAAACACATGAAGAAGTGGCCGCCATAGTACAAAAATTCCTTTCATAACAAGCTTACGAAGCCAGCTGACAGTAAAACATATGGAATTTTCCCCCAAATTTGAGATGGAAAATGGGTTTTGGACCTTGAAACAGAGAAAGAATTACATGAAACGGGTTCATGTACAAGGCCGCCGGGAGGAGAGTCTTACACATTATCTTGTATTGGTGGTCATGGTGAACAAAAACCCGTAATATACAAGTCTTTCTCCATGAGATGGTGTACGTCTTAAAGAGGGATATACGAATAATATAGGCTTTATCTTCTTGGTCACTTTAAAGGATTTTGGGCCTACGTTTTATCCTGCTGTAGTCTTGAAGTGAGGAAAACCTTGGGCTAGGCCTAACTCTATATATTTCAGCAGCCTTCAAATGCTTGGATGCTGGTGGGAATAAGAAGTATAGATAGCTAAAACTGCATGGGGTGAGTCTTTCTTCAAGGAAATCATCAGAGAGTTTCGAAACCGAGATGGTTTGCCTCTTTCCTTAATGACCAACATGAGACATCTACGGCAATGCTTTTGCTTTCTAAACGTTAATCAACACAAATATGGCAGATAACTATGGTTGCAGATTCCATGACATCTGCTGGTTTTGGGCTCCGATCATCATCATACCTATGATCGAACAAACAAACTGACATTTATTTGTGCTACAAATCCTTCCCTAGCATAGGTTAGCAGTAGCACAAGCACACTAAACATTCTTCTCAAGCTCTGACATATCTGACTAGACAACATTCCGTAAACACATTCTGCCATAACTTTCTCATATTAGAATCCTCTTAGTTTGTTTTCAACCCTAATCCACTCAAAACCAATAAAAGTTCGCACATCTAGTACCGGAATCAATCTGCTAAGCAGCTGTAACTACACCATCTAAGCCTATTGCAACAATCGACCCAAAGAAAGATGCAAAAATCAGTAGAATGCAGGCAATTTAAACACGTGGTAATATGATAAAACAAACTTAAAAAACAAATCACATCGTGTGTCAAACAGCACAAACTTTAAACTTTCCCCAAGATTATAAAGGTCAGGACAAAATGCAGAAAAAGCTTACGAATCCTCGGGAGCTGGCTGGTTAACCCCAACCTTCCCCAACAACTTACTCAAACATGCAGGCGGACAAACTTGATATTTCACTTTTCCGGAAGGTGAGAGAAATACATCAGCCAATTCAAGCTTCTCTGGGGTGAGACTTGTGCTGTCCATGGTTTTACTGAGCACCTTCAGCGCTAGCTCGACTCCCTCTTCCCTAGTCATATCATGCTTGTAATCCTGCTTAAGCATTGACTGCGCAGCTTGGTTGTTAGACCCAATCACAGCAGCTTTGCAGCCAGCATAGTTTCCGCTCGGATCACTCATGTAAAGCTGGAAACCTTAATTCTTGTCCTAACCAGCGAACAAAAACGAAACACCAAATGGCCGGAGACCACCAAACTGCGTGTACCCCTGCTTGGTATCACAAAGAGTTTGAACAAGCTGCTCCACAGGCATCGGTTCCTGATATGCAAACTGTTGTATTTGGCTTATACATTTGTAAGTAATTTTAAGTCATGTGTTGACAACAATTGAAGACCATGTGAATGCTACAAGGAAATGACAGCAACCGTGACTTTGTGTTTGCTTGCATGCAATTGTGCATGTTTTCTCTTCTATGCATCAAATGGCAAATGGAGAAAAAGTTGTACTCTATAGGCTAGGTATAGACTTTGGTGCACGCTAGGTAGGCTAGGTGATGATTATGTCATGTGAACTTAAGACTTTTTGGTCTTGGTTGTTGGCATGGTTGCTAGCGTATGCCCATAACTAGATGCAATATTTGTGCATTTAGTATGCTTGGAAAGTGGGAAGGTAAGCATCATAGAAGCATCCAAGGGGGAGAGCATCCGGCTCTCCCATGGGAGGAAGGGTTGAACATGGGTTGAGAGAAAATCAAGAGAGCTAGAGTGAAAAGTATTATAGTGAAAGAACTCTTGGGGTAGAGTGAGGCTTTTGGGAAAACTTTGTGAGTGGATGTACAAGGGATTTGAGATTGGGTTATGTCGATTTAACTCATGTGTAACTTGTATTATTATTCTCATAGTGAAGAGCAATATCTCTCTAGAGACGTAGGCAGATTTTTGCCGAACCTCGTAAATTTCTCGATGTCTTTATTTCTTGTATTTTATTATGTTCAACAGTGGGTCTATATCTTGGTGAGGTAATCTAAATTTTGTTTCCGCACTAACGGACCGAGGCGTAGCGTTGAGCTTGGACCCGAGCGGTGTTTATCAGAATGTTGGCATCAGACATTATGCCAGCCACAGCACAAGCGACATGGTTATCTATCTTGTACATTTTCTCAGTGGAAGTTGAGGATTGGAGGAGTTTGGATGTGACTTTCTTCTCACCAACCAAGACAACCCCGTCTTTCGACAGTATACCGATTGCGGTACCCGCATTCCCAATGGCCTCCATTGCGTACCCAACTTGGTAGAGACGGCCCTCAGGGGAAAAGATTGTTGTCCGGCTATAATATCTCCAAGACATCTTTGATTACAACTGGGAAGTAAATATCGAAATTTATAGCAAGAACACCCGAAAATCGAATTCAAAAAGGAAGAACAAGGGAAACCCAGAAATCAAAATATGAATACAATTTGGGCAAGGTCTTCTTCTTCAATGTAACATACGAAATTACTAAATAGCATCAATTGGGCAGCATACATATTTGAAATACTAAGAACATCAGAACCCAGATAAAAAAAATTACAACAATAATATCACCGAACAGATAAATGGATTAACAAACATTAAAATGCACGATAATCAGAGGTACCAACTAGCGAATTACAATGAAGTTGTCGACATTTAAGAGTATGAAAATTTCTCAGAAACTAATTGAAAAGACGATTGTTGGCGAATGCGGATCTTACCCAGAATCGCTCACGCTCCGTTCGTGCAGATAGTCAAAGAAATTTTATGTCTTTGCCGCCTATTCGGCTCACTTCCCTCTTTCTTCTTCAGTTGTTCGTCGTCTTCTTCCTCAAGAAATAACCAAAGGTTTCACGTTGTCTGCTCTGGAGTAAGGGCTTTCGTGAAAATTTGTGCAAAACGATGGGGATAAATATGGGCCTGTTTGACGTGGGTAGCCCAAGTGTTGGTTCGTATGCAACCCATAATATTCGAGCATGATTTTGAAATTTTGATAAAAACATGAGAAGATATAGTAGGGATTGTGTTTTTTTTTTTTTTTAATACAAATTATTATTATTAAGGTGAGTGAGAGAGTTTGCAACTATTACAATAATTTAAAGGTAAAAGGTGTTTCGAACTCAAGATGTAGAAACTTAACACCTTATCTATTAAGATATTGAACTACGTACGTACATACATACATATATGTCTTAACTAATATAAGAGTCAAACAAAATTTCAACGAGGGGATTTATATGTTATGGGGTTCAACGACAGCTAATACCCCACATTGACTCCACTATATAAAAAGATTATTTGAGACTGTAGGAGTGACATTAAGTGCTTTTCGTAGAACGAGGATTCTTTCCAAATTCTTTTTGTTCTTATATAAGATTATCGTATATCGTATAGTTAAAAGGTTATTTTCATTTTTTTATTTAAAATTAAATATAAACAGTACCTGATAAAAACCGATCACATATTATACGATGAACAAACACAATATGAAATTTTTTGCAATCCTCATAAAGAAGATCCGAAGATGATCCTCGTTCCTTTCGGTAGAGAGTTTGGTATTGCATGGCAGCATATGAGACAAACATTGCTCATCAGAAGTAATTGTATTGGAACTTGAAATGTTTTAGTAACACTATTAAAAGTTAGGTGAGGTCATATCATTTTTTTTATGAAAAATTTAACAAAAAGCTTTAAGTACTGTTTACTTTAACGAAAAATCATATTTTTACATTAAAAAATTAATCATGATATTATTCATTTTACATTTTATTTTGTTTTTATCATTGAAACTTAAAATTTTCAAATCTTTTTTATTAGTTTTTTTTAAAATTTTTTTATTCTTTTTCCCTCTCTAAATTGTCGATATCGTGGCCGATCTCGATCATATGATCGCAACATGTTTTTTTCGGATAAATTGATCAAATAATTGAAACATCGAAAAACATGGTGAAATTTGAATTAAAACATTTTGCAAAAGAATATTATTCCGATTCCCCTTTGGATTTGGTGCGTGTGATTCAGCAGGACCTAAGAAAGTTATTGACATATGTGTTGCATGCATGCATCGATCATGCATGTGGCACTTGACGTTGATAGCTTATTCCTACTGTATCTTTATATACGAATGCAGTCAAAAAGTAACTCAATGCAGTACACAATCACGTGCACCTACAAACAACACACTTTACGTAGCGACAGACAAGGGAGAGCTAGGAACCTATATTGCTATGTTAATAGTGTTTTGATATAATAATATAATGTTATATGCAAGTTTTTATCATATTAACCGAAACACTACGGCGAGAAAACCAGATTAACAGTGAATTAATCAAGTTCTTTAAGCTCAAGTTATAACATTCCAAAATAGAAACGTCTACAGTTCACCAAATTAACATGACTTAATTAATTACCACGGTGTTTCGATCGACCTGATACACTCTTCAAATAAACAAAACAAAACAAAACCAAATTACAGATATTCATCCTTAAGAAGCAGTTTTTACTTCCAAGCATTGACATGCTATATTATTAGCTAGGTGGCGCCACATATTGCAGAACGAAGGACATGATTAACAACCACTAACTGTGATTTAGGAATATGACATGATGATCATCTATGCAGGACACTGGAAACCAGAGGGAGGTGTCTTCCCACAATCAATGAGCACCTGAAGAGCAATGGGGATGATGAGGTTGATATTGAGAAGCTTAGCCTTGATCGTGGTGCAAAGGCAAATAGCAGCGTCCAAGTCCACCAGTCCCTGAAGCACCGGACAACATGCATCTTTGGCACTGCTCCCAATTCCAATGTGGATAAGTCCACCCAGCACATCTACACAAGCTCCCAACTTTAAGGTGTCGATGGGGCACGTGTCCTTCGGTGGCGACTTTGGGGGTGGTACTACCTTTGGCGGTGGAGGAGGGCATGGTGTTTCAGTGGGTGGAGGAGGCTTCACTGGGACAACTGGGGTTGGCGTTGGTGTTGATGGTGGGCTTGGCACTACAACAGGTGGTGAAGGTGGAGGCAGTACAACTGGGGGCTTGGGGGTATATGGTGGAGGCAGTACAACTGGGGGCTTCGGGGTAGATGGTGGAGGCAGTACAACTGGGGGCTTCGGGGTATATGGTGGAGGAAGGACAACTGGGGGCTTCGGGGTAGATGGTGGAGGCAGTACAACTGGGGGCTTCGGGGTATATGGTGGAGGAAGGACAACTGGGGGCTTCGGGGTATATGGTGGAGGCATGACAACTGGGGGCTTCGGGGTATATGGTGGAGGAAGGACAACTGGGGGCTTCGGGGTATATGGTGGAGGAAGGACAACTGGGGGCTTCGGGGTATATGGTGGAGGCATGACAACTGGGGGCTTCGGGGTATATGGTGGAGGCAGTACAACTGGTGGTTTGGGATGGGGAGGTGGTTTGACAACTGGAGGCTTGACAACAGGAGGTTTGGGATAGGGAGGTGGTTTGACAACAGGAGGTTTGGGATGGGGAGGTGGTTTGACAACAGGAGGTTTGGGATAGGGAGGTGGTTTGACAACAGGAGGTTTGGGATAGGGAGGTGGTTTGACAACAGGAGGTTTGGGATGGGGAGGTGGTTTGACAACAGGAGGTTTGGGATAGGGAGGTGGTTTCACAACAGGAGGTTTGGGATGGGGAGGTGGTTTGACAACAGGAGGTTTGGGATAGGGAGGTGGTTTGACAACAGGAGGTTTGGGATGGGGAGGTGGTTTGACAACAGGAGGTTTGGGATGGGGAGGTGGTTTGGCAACCGGAGGTTTCGGATAAGGAGGTGGTTTGGCAACCGGAGGTTTCGGATAAGGAGGTGGTTTTACAATGGGTGGTTTAACATGAGGGGGTTTGGTTGGTACATGAGGAGGAGGCTTTGCATGTGGTGGCTTTGAGGGCGGTTTGGGAACATAGGGAGGAGGCTTTGCATGAGGTGGTTTGACATATGGTGGTGGCTTCTTTGGTGGTTTAGGGTGGGAGGGTGGCGTTACATGGGGAGGGTATTTGGGTGGCAAGTGAGGAACTGGAGGGTATGTTGGTGGTGGGCAATAGGAGTTAGCAAGAGAAGTGAGCAAACTACCCAAGTTGAGAACGAGGACTAAGAGCAATGCCAGAGCGTAATTGATCTCCATGTTCAATGCTACACTCCACAACCCCAAAGAGAGCTGGGTACAAAACTAGATATTGAAACCCAATACCAAGCAATTGCCTTTATAGAGAGTTTAACGCGCTTAGTGTGTGTGCTTGACAGTGTGTATGAGAGAGACAGAGAGAGAGACAGAGACAGAGATACTCCTGCTCCTTTCTTTTGTGGTACCAAGTGCATATATAAAATTATTAATTTGTGTATAATTAATTTGCCAAATTGTCATGACTCATTGACTTGAGGGTCTTTCCAAAACCAAGTTGAAGATCACATTCGCCTGGAGTCACTTCCTTACCTTAGATTCAGATTTCAAGATATATCCAAGTAGGGTATTATAATTTGAAATCAGTGGTCATGATCTTTAGCCAAATATAGGTATGTGTGGAGGAGAGATTTGTAAGCACTAATAAACTTAGGTTAAATTAGTTAAAACTCCATTGTAAAATATTAGATGAATGAATTTGAAATGATAAATACAATGAATTGAGAGGATGTGCATATTGATTACCCGAAACGAACCAATTCTAAATCATTTGCTTATGTTTTTGTACAGAAACGCATTTCTAAATATCATACTTCCTGACTACAAATTCAACATTGTATAAAAAAAAAGAAAAAATTAAGTACTTGCAAATTGCTAATCCAATCATAATGTTAAAGGACAAAGGTAAGGATCAATAACCCGGATTTTGATACAGGCAAAGTTTTAACATGTAGTGTGCTTTTCAACCCGTGATTGGGGTTCATGCTGCCAAAACTAAACATGTGATGCTTTCACTAACAAATTTTCTTGTATAAAAAAAACAATGGGGACAAAAGAGGCCCTAGACTTTTTCAACTTAAAGGACATGCCTTTTTTTCTTTTTCTTTTTATTGGAGGGTTTTGTTTTCCTTTTTTTCTTTTTGGGTTTTGTTTTCCACCTCTTTCTTAGAGAAAGTTTGGGGTTTTTATTTTTAAACCTCCCTCCACCCTACCCCCACCAGGTTACGAACCTAGGACCTATTTCTACCCCACCCCTCACCCACACCCTCACCACTAGGCTTAGGCATTCTTATCTTATGAAGAGACAGTAGCAATTGCATTTGGGTGTCGGCTGCACCTTATTATACATCTTCTCATTTAAATTACGGGGAACTTTAACAAAAAATTTTCGGTATTATTTATTTTAACGAAAAATTACATTATTATACTAAAAATCAATCTTGATATTATTCACTTTATTCTTTATTTTATCCTTATCATTAAAACTCAAAGTTTACAAGTCATTTTCATTAATTTTCTTTAAATTATATTATCGGAATTCGGATGTAGGAACTTCCTTTTAATTTACACAGCTGCTATAACCCTAGCTGCATACAATTGCATTTCAATGTAGGGTAATGCTATCCGTACGTTCATTTTTACTTCTTACACAATTTCTTAATTTTTAGCTGTCGGATTGAATGAATAAAACAAGATCAACGATAAAAAATTAACAATGATATGTAAAAGATAAAAATTGGTGCATTTTTTTAACAAACTAAAAATAAGGACAAGAATTGTCTGCCCTCCCACTTTCGGTGCCTTCCCGTGTCCTCCTGTTTGTGTGGTTACGGTTAAACTACGTCAACATTTTATATTACTATTCATTTTTGTCTTATTATCTCTATAAAAAAACAATATAAAATGTTGACGTGGCTTAACTGTGACCACACAAAACAGGAGAGCACGAGAGGGCACCGGAAATGGGAGGGCATACAGTCCTTGTCCTAAAAATAATGCTTCACATGCAGCTACAAAAAAGATCATCGAACCTCCATTGAAAAGTCACTAGGGTTGTACTTGGGGCCATGTGTTGGGGTTTGTATTATTCTGTAATGTGCAAAGTCATGTTTGCCAAAGAATTGTGCAAATATGGAGGAAATAATAATGAGCATGTATTGCCGTCGTCTTCCTATTGCAAACAAGTCTGTGTATTGGCGTTTAATGATGAAAGTCCAACCCGTCGGTCACTACTGCAAGCCATTTAATTAAGGTGTCCAAGAAAGGTAAGCAGCTGGCCTAGTTTTGGTGCAAGTTGCAGTATAATGCCACTAAGTGCTGGTGGTTTATCTTTGTCAACCTAAACATTGAAGCTTCTGTTGTACTTCTCAGTACATAAAATTCTATGATGGTTTTTTTGTTAAAATTCAAAGTTTTGAAGTCATTTGCATTAATTCAATTCAATCTGAAATTTTTTACTTATTTAATTATCAAGATAAAATTTGTTAAAAAAAAGTCTTAAATATTTCTGATTTGGCTAATATTTTGCAAGGATGATCTATGAGGTGTAACTTCAAAAATAGACAATTCGGATCGTTAAAATTCGATATGGTGTGGACTCCACACCTAATCCCTATTTTTATAAAAAAATAAAATAAAAATTCTTTCCCTTAAAGGCATCCTAAGGACTAAATAGTTGTAAGGACTGGATATAAAAGCACTACTCGAGATGCTCCTAACTAACTCTATGTATATGTTACAGCTCAATAAAAGAAAAATATTACATGTTTAAGCAAGTTCCAATTGAGAGAGTCTAAATAACATTTCTCTTTAAAATTAGTTATTAATTACATCATTTCATTTGCTTTCACTTGATAATGTTCATTAATTAACAAACCCTTCAAAGAATGAAGGCATCGAATGCAAGTAATTGGGCAGCTGTTCGCTCCCTTCCAACCAAATATATAATTATATGAGATCATTCTCCACACGAGTTGGTACTTATTGATAGAATAAAAACTCATCCTTCTTGCTAATCCTGCTAAATGAAAGAAATATACAAGTGCTTGCAGTTTCTGGACAATCTGGAAATCTCAAGGGAATATATTCCGTGCAATAGAGTTTTCTTTATCTTCTTCATGAATCATCCCTTGTAGAAGAATTTGCATCCATCAAAACCTGCCGTGTCACAATCATGCAAGGATTAATTTGTTAATTAGCATGCTGTGTGTTAGTGTTCTTGAATCAGCATGCGGTGCAATATCCTAGTAGATAGCATCTTAGATTTCTAGATATGTGTTTCGAATTCAAAACTCTCTTTACCCTAAAGTGTTGTAAAAGTTTCGAACTCTTCCCCCATGCGTTATTAATAATAAATTCAAAATAATGTCTAGATCAAAGCCCTGCGAAATATCAAGTACAATATGCCAAATATATATAAGGACAATTCGTATTGAAAATTATATCTTGATTGGGCAGCAATTTGGACTTTTTTTTTTGTCGAAGGAACAATTTGGACTTACTTGGATCAACTTTGACAAGCATGGCAGTCCCTCCAAAATCACAAGTGCCTCCAGCCTCCTTGGTCTTCTGCCAGTAACTGTTGAAGGCGTACGAAGCATGCGACAACAATGTGTCGGGCTTGTAGCAGGACCCACTGGGCTGGATTGACTTGCAGTCCGCCCCCGACCCACATGCATAGTCTAGGGCTTCTTGGACTATCGGGTCCGGCACCGCCGGGTTGGCCACGCACCACGCTGCAGACTGCGGTGGCTTTTTGTGCGGAGGAGATGGTGGCCCGGACGGCGGAGGGGAAGCTATGGGGGGCAGAGAGATTGGTTGGGTTGGGATGGATTTGGGTGGGATAGGAGAATTTTTGGGCGGTATTGGGATTGTGGTTGGTGGGTATGGGCTAGGCCCATTTTGTGGTGGGTTTGGGATGGGTGAGGAAGTGGGCCCAGATGAAGGAGGATTTGTAAGAGGTGGGTTTGAAGGAATGGGTGGGAGTACAGAGTATGGATCTGGAAGAGGGAGATTTCCTGGTGCTCGTGAATCCAACGGTGGTGATGAGGAGGGAGAGGGAGAGCTGGCATCGGACGGTGTAAATTCAATATTTGGGGAAGGCAATGGAAATTGTAAGTCCAAGTGATATATTGCTTTCAGCTTGTTCTTCTCTAATTCATAGATTGAATTGCTTTTGTGTAGTTTAAAGAATTGGGCAAAACTTCTTGCATCTGCACCAAAACAAACCATAGAATTAGTTGTAAAAGTTGTCCAAGCAATGTAAGTTGTATGTAGGAAGAAAGAACTTGCATGCAACTAGTACGTTACACTAATGGTAACTCGTCAATTACGCACTCCAATGTGCAAAGTTAAATGATAGGCTTGGAATATTGTCATAGTGACATATTGCCACAATGACGGTACTACAAGTCAATAACACACTTCAATGTGAGAAGTGAAAACACATTGTGGCACGTGATAGGCTTGAGACACCGCCATTGAGACATTCCAGACGTAAGTAAGTTTCTCTCGCTCATGAAGAGGGCTAAATTAATGACTTTGGACACAAAGAGAAGGACTTGCTTACCACATAGAATGGAGAAAGTTGTGATTGAAATGGAGATGTAGAAAATTGGTATGATGCTCAATCTCATGCAATACATTGTGAGCTCCAAAACACTAAAAAAACCAGTCTGAAATGTTTTGCTTAACTGAGTCATCTTCCAAGAAAACATTTGGGAGATATATATAGGCAGGACATAAAGTAAAGCTAATTAAAGAAGATTCCTCTTCACTACTTTGTAGTCTAAGATTTTTTGTTGCTTCCTTTGAATATATTCTTGCTTGGCAGTGGAGAAAATATGAACATTGCAGAGTTTTCTGAACTGTATTTTGCTTGCTTTCCACTCAAAAGCGACGCACACTTCTATTCTCTCTCACTCTCTATATTAGATTCTGCATTTCTCCGGAAGTTATGAGTCCTTCGATAAGTAGTTTTCGAACTTTTAATCTTGTCTCTGTAGCTGATCTCTTACCATCCCAAGATGTTTAGCATCTTTTCTTTTGCATCATAATGGAACGCCTTAAAACTCTTTTCTCGTATACTTGTCTTCTGTTCAGTGAGTTTAACAATATTATGAAACGTATATATTTGATGGAACGCCTTAAAACTCTTGGTTCGTGCTCATCATTGAACCTGATACCTAGGAGTTTTTGTTTGCCAATGTAACCACGAAGGCACGGAGGCTGAAAGGCCACAATCACACACCATACTGGAATTGGGAACAAAAGAACTGCATAAAACTTTCACTCGTCGTTAAGGATAACATGCCATCTTATTTTTTGGCATGTCTTACTCTCTGTATATTTCATTGCAGACACATAGTAGGTACTGACTTTCAGTTCTAGCTAAGAACAACTAGAAGGTCTAAGAATTATCGAGACATAAAATTTAAGTTCCGCATAAAACTCCTTTACTTGATTTTGCAGAAGAGAGAAATTATACTCTTCACCAATCACGCTTGGTTGACTATAAGTCCAGAGCTCTCATTCCTGTTGATAACTTTTCAATTGAAGATTCTATGTCAACCTGTTATAATTTGGCCGTTCTGTTACCATTCGGCAACAAGATTTTGCTACTCGTAACCTAACTCTTCCTCCTTAGGGGACTTTGGGAAGAAGTTACTTACCCAGTATGTTCAAATTATGTTTTAGAGTTCAAATTTAAACACAGCATCTAAACTTGCACAATAAGTTATATGACCGTTGCCAACAACCGCTTGCCAGCTATGGTAAGTGAGGCTTGAACTGTTCTCGAGTTTAAAAAGCAAATCTAGTCATGTTCATTATTCAGAATGTCAATTATGTTTTTGCTCGAAATGTTATAAAATTATGATGCCGTTGGCAACGGTCTCTTACCATCTATAGCATATCTAGAATTGCATATCTAGAATTGGTAGATTTCTTGCATTTAGAAGGAAATTGACTGTATTCAACGGTCTCTTTCCATAGCACGATTTTTACCTTTCTTATAATCTATGACCTGAAATGGCATGATGACCTGTTTTGGACGAGGTGGTTAGGTAAACTCATAGTATAAATTTGGGTCTAAGTGTTCGAATTAGTAGCCATTGTGTGTTTGTTGCTAAGCTGTAGCCTCATTCAGGACAAAAACATATATGGCTGCAAGACCTCTCCTAGATATGCTAAATGCAAATTGGATAGCGCCTGTCCGGCACATTTCATGGACTCCGCCCCCCAATAATGCATGGAAGATCAGCTTTGCTGCTCACCACGAGCCGGAATCACAGACTGGATCTTTTGCTTGCATTGTGAGAGATCACAATGCTGTATTCAAATCTGCCATTGCTGGACCTTCAGGCAAGGTCAGGGACGGTTTGGCAACGCATTTGATTGCTTTCTCCCGGGCAATTGAGTTTGCCATGACAGAAGGCATTGATTACCTACAGATCGAAGGTAATCATCCATTTTCGTTTCAGATCATAACAGGTGAGACCAAGATACCTCACTCCGAGACCAGGGAACTTGTTTTTCGTTGCATTCATGACTTGCAGAAGTTTAGGAGTGTGACTTTCCGCTCGGTCACTAGGGATGACAATTCTGCTGCTAACTTGCTTGCCAGGATTGCTGCGGAGTGGAAGCGAGTCGAGTTTTGGGCTGACATCCCTCCTAAGGAAGTAGCTGAAAGCCTAGTACTGGATGTCATCGGCCGTTGGGTGCTTCCTTAAACTTTGAGGGAGCCATCATCTTTTCTTCCAATGTAGTTTGATTGTATTTCAAACTTAGGTCAAATAAGGAAGAAAGATTAAGGTTAGATACATTGAGGTTTAACTCTTGTGGTTGTACTAATCGTGTAATAACCAAGTTAAACTTGTCTTAGTTTACTACAGTGGAAATTTTGACAACAGTAAAAAATTAATTATGATTAATAGTGGAGTTTTTATTACCTATGAGTTACATGCTTGTCTATATCTGTTTTGCTAGCGATTGTGGCACTTGTCTTGAATACACATGAAGAGGCTAAAAGAGATGTGTTAAAATCACTCGCGTTATTTGTTCTCATACTTGACACGGTTGATACGACATTATGTAGACTCTTTTTAGGCTTTTTAGCAAAAATTGTCTCTGAGATTGACATAATTCTTCAATTTGGTCTAGGACAATAAAAATCGATAAAAGTGATTTATGAGTTTGTCCACCATAAATTATTTAGAAACCACTTCTATCGATTTTCATTGTCGGAGACTAAATAGTGAGGAGTTATGTCAATCATAGGGACCGTTTTGACTAAAAAGCACTACTTTTTTTTTATTTTTTATTGAATAAACGATATTATCTACATTATGGGGGTGAGGAGGGGAGGGGGATTGGGCTAAGCCTTACAATGGGCTATTAATAATGTAGTTCAAATTCTTATTTGATGAAAATCGAACCTAAGACCTGTTACTTACAAGTGAAGAGAAATACCATTAGACTACAGTATTAAGTGGCAAAAACCCTCTTTTTATATACTTGAACTTCTCCGACCACTCAACATATGTATTCTTCTACTTTTGTGTAGGGGAAATCAACAAGACAAGGAGGAGACTTATTTTGGTGTAGTACTCTTTTTCTCTTTTTACACCCCTCTTTTGTTCATACCTTTAATTTATTTTGATTTATTCAACCCAAGGTTGAAAAAATGAGAGTGTGGAAATTACTTCTCTTATTTTGGAAGTTCATGGTTGTAATGTTAGAGAAATTTTAATCGGTACCAGAAATACAAATCACGTTGTGTACCATGTAATGTGTTATAACAAGAATTATAATTTGAGTTAAATATTAACACTACGTGATCCATGTTTTATGTACGCAGAAAAATTACTCAGTAATCTTGATTTCCATGAGCTAATTGAAATGTAAAATCCCAAGTACAAAAAAAAACTTGTTTTGGGCTTGAAATAGAAGCAGGGCTAAATCTAACATATCAGATGTTTGGGCCTAGATCCGACATATCAGAATGTTTTTTGGTCAGACATCACATTGTTTCGGCCGTTGGACATTTTAAAAGCAAACACTAAAACCCACGGTAACGGTAACTTTCTTGTCCCGTCTTGTCCTCCTTCTCCTTAGTCTGACTCTGCTCCAAAACCAAACTTCCCAACACAAAAGATCTTAGCTTTTGCGACCAAAAAAAACACCAAAGTTGTTAGCTTTTCACTTCGTTAATGGAAGTAGAAGAAGAAGCATATTATCTCACTTCACTCAGACAGCAAGAAGAAGAAGAAGAGAGAGAGAGTTTTTTGGGTTTGAGCTGCGCTTGCAAAGTGGTGGAGTATTTGCAGCCAGTGATGTCAAACGAGCTGCTCTGCAAGTTCCCGGACAACTCCGCCTTTGATTTCGACTACTCGCAGAGCTCGATATGGTCCCCGTTGGTCCCCCGGGCTTACGCTCCCGTGGATTTGGACCTGGATTTGGATTTGGATTTCGCGACGCCGCGTAAGCTCAATTTTGAGATGGGGTTGGAAGTGAAGAATCAGAACAGCCTTGTCGAAGCCGGTTCCGGCATTAAGAAGAAGAAGATCCCCACAACCGCAACTTGTTTCAATCTGAATCGGAGTGCTCTGAAGAACAAGCTGATGAAGAGGAAGAAAAGCAAGATGGTTTTGGCCTCTGATTTCTCTCCGACTCCTGTTAACGTTAACTGTAACCCCATAGCCTCGAAGGTACTGCCTTTTTTTGTAATCTGTGTTCTCAGGATTTACCCATTGGAAATTTAATCAATCTGGTAACCGAAAATTTCTGGTTGATCTGTTTTTTGATTTCTAAGATATGAAGTTGTGTAATTGGTGTTCAGGTGTGGAATAAGGTGCTGAAAGCTGCCTCTAAGCATTTCAAGAAAAAGAAGAAAGATCCAATGGATCGTGTGAGGTTCTCCAATTATTTGAGATCGGATGGAAATATATGAAGGATTAAATTTAATTCCTCATTTGTAATTTTTTATTGTTTCATTTAATTTGTTAAATTCGTTTAATTGTCTTTGTAATCTGGATGATGAATAAAAGCAACATTACTTTGTAGAAGAAATATGTTCTCTTTGTCCTTAAAATTCCATTTTCCTACGTTCCTCCAATATAGGTATTTGCCTGGGTAGTGATTTGCGCACTTGCGTTGCTCATTCGGCATTTATTGTGTTTCTACCTCTCGATGTATTCCATATGCTAGAAAAAAGAAATGAAGGAGTGCGCGAGGAAAACAAAGTGCGAAAATCACTTATAGTTAAGTCCGTTTCTTAAGCAAACCATGCGTTAATAAACATTGCACTAGAATTGTCATTGAGCACACAAAATCAGTTGCTCTTACTTGAGTTTTTTCTTAGAAAAAGATAGACAACTGGTGGCAAACCACAATTATTCATCTATTCCAGGCTTGTAAAGGCTATTGTGAATTTCACCTTACCCGTGACCACAATCAAACAACTAAGATCAGTCGCGAATGTGCAAATGAACAAATTCTAGTTATTTATATTTGTAGTTCCCCAAAATAAAAGCAATTATATTGTGCCGTGGGCATATGTGCGACTAATCCCATCATTCCTCCTTTTTGTCAAGGCTTGCCAACATAACCTCAATCAAATGTCGAAACGAAGTAGAGGAAGATCCACCATCTCCAACAGCCTTCCTGCACACTTCACTCATCTCCTCAACCCTCTTCCTCACCGCACCATCACCGTCCATCACACACCTCACAGCCTTCTCAATCTCATCCGCCACCACGAAATGATTACCACTGTCCCTTCTGTAGTCCAATCTCAGCTCCACGGCCAATCCCAAATCCCTCACCATCTGAAAGGCATTAATCTGCTGCTCTGCAGACAGAGGCCAAGTCACAACAGGGACACCATGCCACATGCTCTCTAATATGGAGTTCCACCCACAGTGCGAAACAAACCCTCCAATCGCTTTGTGGGCTAGGACCTCCACTTGTGGGGCCCAGCCACACAAAATACCAACATCTTTGGTCCTCTCCAAGAATCCTTGAGGCAAAAACTTCTCATGATTTGCGTACTCACCTGCCATTACATTTTCTAAGCTTAGAAATGTTCACAAAATTTACACTTGGAGGGGATAAGACCAAATTCACTAACAAGTTGAAAAATAATGATTAAATTATCTACGAGAGTAAGAGACGTAATGTTTGACAAGTTGCTACCCACTTAAATAGAAAATATTAAATTTTATTTTAGATTTTATTTTTCAATAAATTGTAAGAGACTTGTTAAATACCTAAATGAACACTCATTATATGATTGTTCCTCATTTTTTGCAATTTAAATCCAATACAATTATGTATTTTCTTAAAGTATAAACATTTATTTATATATTACATAATAAATTCAATTAAAAAAAAAAAAAAAGACCTAGGCCCGCGCCTAAATGCCGAGGCCCTAAGCCGCTAACACATTTTAAAACCTCATTTTACATTATGTATGTTTCTTAATTTTATTTTGATTCAAATATTAATTCAAAAATCTAAATATATATATATATATATATAACATAAAAAGATGTGCTAAAATTATTTTCCAAAAATAAATTGTCTCACCTGGCATTACAAACTGGCCCGCGGGTGGGGTTTTCCGTACGGACCACAAGAATTTCATACCGCTCTTTTCCAATCCAACCGCAATCTCTCTCAGTTGGGCCTCATCAAAACTTCCAAAGCTCCCAAAGCAGAGGAACACCACTGATTTTGGAGGCTGACCATCAAGCCACGTCATGATCTTTCCAAATTTGGCCCGATCAGACGGCTGCACATGATGCTCACCAATCAAGGGTCCCACCGTGTAAACAGGAGGGATCTCAGTCTCACAATCCAAAAGTGAGCCAACCGCATGGGACTCCAGCTCAAAAAGTGTGTTGACGACTATAACCTTGGTTTCCTTGAACCTCCTAGCATGGTTTGCAAAGCAACTGTACCCGGTGTCCATGTAAGCAAACGAAGGAAGCACATTTGCAGGAACTGGATTGACATAACTCGGCACAACAGACTCAGGGTCTGATGGTTTGAAAACTGTGCCGAGTCGGTCATACCGGCCCGGAAGGTGGAGGAGAAGCCCTAGAAAACCAGCCCCGGAAGTGAAAAACAGATAAGATGGAACCTTAAACTCATTGGCTACGTCAATCATGGTGGTGCAGAACATATCAATAACCAAACCAGAAACGGAGGAGTTCGGCAGAACATGGTCAGCTATGGCGTCTCTGACGTGGCACTTGTAGTTCTCTATGTAAACTGTGACGTATTTCTCCACAGATTGTTGAAGAATCTCGAATGGGCGGTTCACACTGGGAAGGTCTATGATTTTTATGTGGGCGTGGGAGGCTGCAAGTGATCGAGCAGTGCTAGGGTTTGAGTCCAAAGTAGTGGAGGATTCATATGGTGGTTTCATGACAAGGATTGTAACAGAGAATTTATCACAACAGTCGAGTAATCGTTTCGAAAACTCTATGGTTGATACAAGATGACCAACCGCCGGTGTCGGAACAAACACCAGCTCTGATCTGTTCATTGTGCGTATGATCAGTTGATATGGTACAAATAATTTTTAATCGCGTCTTGATACCAATTTTGGTAGGAGTGGTGTGTGGATGAAGGACGAGGAAACGTCTTACTTTTTATGTCGCGTCTTGATATAAATTTTGGTAGAGTTGTGTGTGGATGAAGGATGAGGGAACGTCTTACATTTTATGTGGTATAGACAATTTATGAAGAGAAACAAAAATGTTAATTTTTTTTTAGTACATCGATATTTTACATTAAGGGAAGTGAGAGTTCAGCAAAACTACACAATGTGCAACCTAATTTGGTATATATCGAATTCGTCATCCATGAGATTCGAACCTAAGACCTCTCACTTTCAAGTGAAAAAAATATCATTAGACTGTAGTATTTTGAAACCGAAATTGAAGAAAGTCAATTTCATTCACATAAGGACCAAGAACCAGAAGTTACATGGAATCGGAAAAGCGAGGAAAATTCTATATCGGATGCTAATTGGCTCGATTAATGAAACTTCCAATATGGTGGCCAGTTCACTTCAGGTTAGCCAGCATGTAAACTTACAATATGATGGCCAGTCCCCTTCAGGTTAGCTAGCATGTTGTTTATGGCTCTACTGGAACATTGCAAATGGGCATAAATTCAAGGTAAATCTTTCTTGTCCATATCCATGGTGGGGCTGGTTTGGTATTGTTGTACTTTGAAAAAAAACTTACTTCTGCTGTGCTATGAGAATAAGCAGTTGTGAAATAAAGCAGCAGAGTGTTTGGTAAACTTTTTTATAAAAGTGTTTTTGAAAAAAAAAAAAACAGTATTATAGTGTTTGATAAACTTTTATGTAAAACAGATGGGGAAAAAACTAGTTTTTCAAAGTTGGGTTTTGCAGCTTTGTGTTTTTGGTTTTTTTTCACCCAAAATTGTGAAAAAAAAGCTGAAGCTGAATGTTTACCAAACATAAAAGAACAAAAATGTAATTAATTTGACAGACATGCTCTTGAAGTTTAATCTTTTTCATTAAATAAAGTTATTAGAAGACTTTTAGTTAAATTTAAAAATTTTGAAGCCTTCGTTAGTAGCTTTTCTATAAAAGGGAGATATGTGTAAGTTTTTATGTATATATTTTTAATTTAATGATACAAAACGTCACATGACAATATACCGATACCATGTAAATTGTTCTAATATAGATGGCATATCATCTCTCCATTTGCTACCTCACTTCATACATCAAGCACTACAAGTCTACAACTACAAGTCGTTTCACTTTATTTTCGATTGGACCATATGATCATGAGATTACACTTGGACTAGGAGGAGTTGGCAAGGCAATGGTCCATACGCCAGCCACCACAAAGGATGTGATTTGATACCATAACACCCATATATTTTGAAATTTTTATGGTTCAAATGTTATTGGAATAAGAGATCCACGATTAAATTATATATACACTAAACGCCTAACTTTCTGATTAATTCCCTTGTGTCCTTTTTACTATTCATTCGCCAGTGTTCTTCCGTTTTTGCCCTTTAATTGTTCTTTAAGTTTTGCTTTTTTGTGTTTATTATACAGTAAAATGGCGTTTTTGTCCCTGCTGTGCGATAGAAATCTGTCGATTTCTTCAGGAAGCTGAGCCCCTGATATCCACGCGTCCTCTACTTTTATGAGATGTTGACGCGTTTGCATGGTTCCAGAAGTTCTCGAGCCTTCCTTTTTTGATTTCGATTTTGATCTCTGCCTCACAAAAGCTCTTCGTGCTCTAATGGCTCCCCGATCTCCAGTTCTCTGTTTCTCTCTCTCTCTCTCTCTCTCTCTCCCTCCCTTTCTTGCTAAAAACCATGATTAGCAACCTGAAGCGAGAAACTCGGTTTTCTTTTTCTTCCTGCTCGACTTGATTCGAACAAAAAAATCTCTTGCACGAAATCAATTTTCTCCCCATCACTGATTTCGACTACATGCACACCTATCAAGCCCTAGAATCCAACCGAACTCACCCCCTTCAAGCCTGTTTCTGCTCTTCCACTCGCTACCCAGAAAATCAAGTTCTCAAGGTTCGATGTTTCATCGATTTCCTCCCCCTCAAAGATTATTTTGGTCTTTCGTGCATACTAATTTTTTATTTCTATTAATTTTGGTTGTGTGATTAGTGATTGTTGTTCTTAATTTTACTAAAAATTTTGAGTTTTTCTTTCTGTTGTTTCTATGGTTTTTTTGTTCTGCATATTTCAATTACTCTCTCTCTTGCAGCGGAACCAATGCGACCACTAGGGGCCACTGCCACGTGAAATTATGGGCTTCAATCGTTTTCTAAAACCTTCTGTACTCATGGTAAGTTATTCTAGGTTTTATTCCATATTCAGATCATCCCCAATTTCGAAAGTTTAGGGAATTGGTTTGTTTCCGTGTTGCATGTTTAACATTCTTCTGTGTGATGCTGAGTTGAGGCTTTACGAACTGGAATCGTTGAGGGTAGGCTTGAATTTGGCCAAATTTGGGTAAGAACCGTTAAAAGCTAATCCTAATTTTCTATAAAATTCCCTATATATTTATTATTTGTTTCCAATAGCAGGTAATCAGGAGTTTTATTTGATCTTCTCTGTGTAGAACCCCAGGGCATGCGACTTCTGGAACCGGTGAGAAATTGCAGGTCCCCTGGGCTCGATCCATTTTGGATTTGAGGGGTCTGATTTGGAGGAAAAGAAAAGAAATAAAGTTTGGGTTTTGGATTGATGTCGTGTTTAATGTTATTTAATTTTTATTCTTGCATGTTTGATTTATTTTGAATTTTTGCTTGTTTGATTTTTTTTTTTTTTTGGTTTTTTGTTAATTTGCACTGTTTGTTTTGTTCATTGCAGGCTTACAATGTTTGATTAATTTCTATAGGGTGAGTTGTTAATTTTTCCTCTATTTATTCATGTTGTTTTATAAATGCTTAAATGTTTTGTATCTAATCTTACTAACACTTTGAGTGTATTTTTAACAATGGTTGTCACTATTTCTTCCTGTTAATTTTTAAGTCTCTGTATTTCATTGCAAACTTTGGACATCGGTCTGTTTTTTTGGTGGTTTAATATGTTTTGTGTTCTGTTTTTCAGGCAATTAACTCAATTCATATGATTAATTCCCATGGTTTTCATGCCATATTGGTTGAATTTATTATAACTATATTTGATTTTGTTGCAGCAATATCCTTATATAAACAACAAGTGGAAGGTTAACAGGACATTAACCAATCAGTTGAGATATTAGTTTGTTTACTTTCTGCTATCCTTGGTTGGAGTGAGAAAATGTTTAGGTACTTTATAGTTTTAAATTTGTAGTTAGGAAGATTTAACAATACGTCTTGATAAATGCAGGTTCAGCAACATGTTGCTGAAACTATCACTTATATAGCCTCCATTGCAAAATAGTAGTACTTTTGGTTTGCTTTCTATGTCTCCTTCATTATTTCTATTTTGTGGATGTACAAATAGATGTCAACCCTATCATTTAATGGTGTTGTTCACTTTGATAGGTATATGTGAACGGCTTGCAGATATCAGACCCAGACAAATGCGATGAAGTGCCTTACGGCTTTTTCCTAATCCGTAGGTCCACAATTTGTTTTTGAAAGTGGAAGTTCTGGTGTTATATTTTTAATTCTCATCATCTTCAGTGCAAAAGTTTGTGTGCAAGTTTTTTGTTATACTTTTATTTTTCTGTATGCATTATGTCTATCCTGAGCCAAAGGTTGCTAATTTGTTATTGATGAGTGTGTGCTGTTTGGTCTCCAATGATTGTTTATATTAATGAGAGGAACTCCCACAACTGGGACTTGCAGCCATGTTTCCAATTGCAGCCATGTTTCCCTTAAGCAATAGGGACGGGATGCACGAGATGCAGCAATTGGAAACATGGCTGCAAGTCCCAGGTGTGGGAGTTCCACCCAAAGACTGGCACACCAAAATAGGTTCAGCAAATTCAAGATGCCCACAAGGATTTCTGAAACAACCGTTTCGAATATTTCCTATTGAAATTAACTTTGGAATGTAGTGCTGCTCTGCATTTGTAATAGGTGAAGAAAACTGACGAGTGCCAAGTATGATTGTGTAAACTTGCATAAGTTTTAGAGTTTTGCCATACCACATATCGAATGAGCAGTATGTGCCGTCGAATTTATTATGTTAAAAGCTTAAAATTTTTCATTCCAGCATAATTGAATTTTCTTCTATTTTGAATTCGATATAAATGCATTAAGACCACTCCAGTTTCATGTGTTTCATCTAAATTATGATTATTATTATGACTTTCTACATGATTTAGCTATCTGCTAATTTCTTGCTTTTAGATTTAATATATTTTCTTAACTAAATTTAAGTTACGTGTTGGTAGCCCCATTGACATTTATACTCCATTTGCCTTCTCCATAACAGGCCTTGGACATTGGTAAAGAACAAATGGTTGATTTGCTGACGAGGCATGAATCACTAGAACTAAAGACACGAGCCTCAAGAGTGTTGTAATATATTGTACAAACATGTATCTTTTGTTTTTTATTGATTATAATTAAAGATGTAAATATGTTTTGATATAGAAGTAAATATATTTTAACATATTTTATACGTTTAACATCGTTTTAGACCCACGGCATCGTGCGAGCTAAGTTGCTTGTTATTTACTAAATCATTAAATTATCTACTAAATTTGACAAATTTGCTTTAATCATGTTTGACTTTTCTTCTTTTCAATGTTATGCATTTAAATACTAATGAATACTTATGGCTTCTTATGTCATGTTGCTTTTTTTACTTCGAGTTGATATAAAATATAATACATGTTATGCCTAACAATGCGTGTATAATTTAATGACTAATGAGAAGCTAAAAGAACTACGTTGAAAAATTATTGTATGGTACCACAATATTACATGTTTAATACAGCTATAGTTGATTATTAATTAAGGCAATGGACAACAATAACAAAGCATTGACAAGAAATATTCTTACGGATGACGTCTAGTTTTTTTTAGTAGCACTTGATTCACTAGCATGTCTAAGTTTTTGGATGAAGAACCATGTGGACCAGTAGCTTCTTCTGCAAGCTCTTCCACGCCATGACCTTATTTTTCATCTTCTTACCCTTCTCCCCATCCATTAACTCTCTGACAAGCCTCTCTACTTCATCCCTCTTCACATCATTACTAATTTCCATGCCAATGCCCCATTCATTGCAACTATAGCGGCAGTCCATCTGCTGGTCGCCGAAGAATGGCCAACAGAGCATAGGCACTCCTGCAGTGAGGCTCTCAAGGGTTGAATTCCAACCACTGTGTGTTAAAAATCCTGCCACTGATGGGTGGTTAAGGACTTGCTCTTGTGGGCACCAACTCGCAATGAGACTTCTTTCTTTTGTTTCATCCACAAACTCCAGCGGCAAAAGTGCTGATTGGCCAATAACTAAATCAGGTCTAATTACCCAAAAGAAGGGCACCTTGCTCTTTGCAAGTCCCCAGCCAAACTCGACAAGATGTTCAGGTGTCATAACTGTTATACTGCCAAAATTCACATACACAACTGAATTTGGCGCCTTAGTGTTTAGCCACTCGAGGCATTCTGTTTCTTCTTTCCATAGACTGTATCCAATATTCAAGGGCTGATCTGGTATTTGATTCAGATGTAATTGAAGAGGGCCAATTGGATAAACAAGTGGAAGCATAGATGAGAGAGCTTCCAAAACATCTGGCTCTAAGGTATCAAAAGTATGAAGAACAACTGCAGAAGCTTCATGAACTCTATCAGTTATCTCCATCATAAAGTTAAACATGATATCGTCGGGATCTGAAGTCCGAATAAAGGTTGGGAGCTCCCTTAAACGGATATCTTTCATTCCTGGAATCCAATCTATAACCTTTTCCAGATATCCATTTGTCAAACAGCTCTCCTCTACCAAAAAAAAAAAAAAAAAGAGAATTTCATTTGCATGTTTAGAAACAAGGAATTAAGAGCGAGCCATAAATTAATTAAAGCTTCTGTAGTTGTATATATAATATATTTTACCTTTGAGCGGTACCAGGCCTTTTTCCATCAAAGCACGAAATTGTATGACTCCCATGAAGCTGCATGCCGCAATAGTGTAGAACAGCACTATGGGGACTTCAATCTCATCAGCGGCTGTGATTGTGAACGGGGACATCAAACCATCTGAAACTATGCAAGTTACTGGAGGATTAATGGATGTTGATATGGCATCACTGTTGAGATTCATTAGTAGTTCACGAAAGGGAGCCAATAATTTTTGTTTTCTGATTGAATCACAAAGCAATGGGACATCTTGGGTGGCATCTTCATCTGAATCTGGAAGGCCGTCTGGGATGGCTGCAAACTGGAAATCAGGTGAGCCATCAAGGGAATTGGGGCCCAGAGATTTTAGAAAGCGCTTGTGGTTGTTCTCAGTGTTGACAAAGGTAATATGAAAACCTCTATGGTGGAGGAGCTTTGCAAATTTAATCATTGCCTTGATATGGCCTTGAGCTGGAGCCGGAATGCAAACAGCATGAGGCTTAGTAGCTACTGCTGTGGGATCCATTTGAGGTTTTGTGTTTGCATTGCATTGCTTGCACAAATGCAGACTATTTATAGTGCTCCTGAGCTACTTTTCTGCTCAGCTACTTTTCTACGTCTTCCGATTGACTGAAGTATAGGAGGTCAATAAAAGCAAAAGTTGAAATACGGCCCTTTCCCTCCCTGTACGTTATTTCTTGCTTGTCAAGTTGAATCTGATTGATCATTAATATATAAATTAAGGAAAGTTTTTTAGGATTTGTAGGTTAGTCATGAAAATAGTTGTCTCTTTTAATCCTTTTTTTTTTTTTTTTTTTTTTTTTCGGGGATGTTGAATTATAAGTTGTGAGCTGATAGGATAATTTTATGATTTAATTGGTGTATCCACTTGTGCTTAGAATGCCAAGTGTAAAGTTTTGTTTTGCAAAGGCCATGAGAGCCATGTGATGTGCGGCTGTGATCTAAGCTAGGAGTGAGAATGAATCCAACAGTCCCTAACAACTATATTCCTCATCTCACGACTTGTGTGTGAGAGGTGTGTGAAAAATATCAAAAATTAAGAGAGCACCTCTGCATCTTGCAGAGAGTGAGAAGAAACCATTTTCCAATTTTATCATCTTCTTCGAATCCATTTAACAAGAGAATAATCATAGCTTAATTCAATCTAACATGGCCTCAGAGCCAGGTTGTGATTAGAACTGGGCATGCACTGTGTTGCGTTTCTGGGTTCACACAAGTTTGCGACGATCAAATCTGGGAATGCTGAAGTGAGAACTCCGATTTTCTCCGGTGAGAACTACAAGTTCTGGAGAATCAAAATGGTCTCTATTTTCAAGTCACATGGACTATGGAATCTGGTGGAGAAAGGGATTACGACTCCCGATTCGAAAAAGAAGGCAAAGACTGATGAAGATACTGACGCTGATGGTGACTGATGATGAGAAAATGACTGCAATCTTCATGAAAGATGCAAAAGCCCTTGGCATCACTCAAAGCGCAGTCTCCGATCAGATATTCCCTCGAATCGCAAATGCAAACTTAGCAAAGGTGGCATGGGATCTGTTATATGGTGAATATCATGGTGGGGATCAGGTAAGGTCTATGAAACTACAAAATCTTAGACGAGAATTTGAATACACTAGAATGCATAATGATGAATCCTTGTCTGGGTATCTTACTCGTTTAAATGATCTGATTAATCAAATGAAGACGTTTGGTGAAACTCTTCCAAATGAGAGATTAGTTCAGAAGGTGTTAATAGTCTCACTAAGATGTATGATCCTATATGTTTAGTGATAGAAAACACCAAATGTCTGGAATCTGTTGAGCTACAAGAGGTACTAGCTATATTAAAGAGTCAAGAGCAGAGGTTTGATTTGCATTCCTCTGATGCAACTGAGAGAGAATTTTCTTCTCTTACTGTTAATTCAAAAGGACAAAATCGAGGGTATGCTCAGTCTAGTACGTTTAAGCCACAAAAAATTTATAATCAGAAAGGTAAGAAGTGGGATTCAAAACCCAAGTTTCAGCAAAAGCCAATTCTTAATGCTGCACAGAATAGTATTTCTCCTCAAATCATGGATCAAGAGGGTACAAAACCTCAGTGCAAGGTGTGCTCTAAATTTCATTATGGTGAATGTAGGCACAAGGGGAAATCTAAGTGTTATAACTGTGATAGATTTGGACACTGGGCCAAAGAATGTACTGTTGGAAAAGCTGTTCAGAAAGCAAACTATGCAAATCAAAGGGAAGTGACTGGAAACTTACTTTATGCAAATTGTGTTGTTGCTGAATCAAAGGTTAATGGGGAATGGTATATTGCCAGTGGCTGCAGCAACCATATGACATGGAATGTTGATCTTCTTGTTGATGTGAAGACTAATGTTGCAAGGAAAGTTCAAATGCCACCAGGAGTGTTAGTGAATGTGGCAGAAATGGGATCCCTGGCAATTGAAACTAACAGAGGGAGGAAATACATCAGAGAAGTCATGTACTTACCTGGTTTAAAGGATAATCTACTAAGTGTGGGACAAATGGATGAGCACGGATACTATCTTGTGTTTGGTGGAAGTATATGTACTGTTTTTGATGGCCCTTATCTGGAATGTCAAATTATCAGTGTGAAAATTAAAGGAAACAGATGCTATCCTTTATCTCTAAGGGCTGAAAATCAACTTGTGTTGAAGACTAGTTTTGCTCATTGTACTTAGACTTGGCACAGTAGATTACGTCACTTAAACTTTGGTGGAATCAATAAATTGCAGGATAAAGGCAGGGTTTATGGTCTACCATATCTAGAAGAATATGATAGAGTCTGTGAAGGCTGTCAATATGGTAAACAACACAGAGAAAGTTTTCCTAGTGGTCAAGCACAAAGAGCAAGTGCTCCACTCGAATTGGTTTATGTTAATCTATGTAGGCCTAATGAGAAATGAATCCACTAGAGGAAACAAGTACTTTATGCTGCTTGTGGATGATGCAGCAAGAATGATTTGGGTATACTTTCTTAGATATAAATCCGATGCTTTCTCTTGTTTCAAGAAATTTAAAGCAATGACTAAGTTGCAAACTGGTTTAAAAGTGAAATGTTTGAGGAGTGACAGAGGAGGAGTTCTTATCTACTAAATTCAATCAACTCTATGATACAGAAGGCATTCAAGGCAGCTCTCTCTTGCATACACTCCACAACAAAATGGAGTGGTGGAGAGGAAAAATAGAACAGTGATTGAAATGGCAAAATCTATACTACATGATAAAGGGATGCCTTACTATATGTGAGCAGAAGCTGTACATACTGCAGTTTATATTCTGAATCGATGTCCTACCAAGTCTCTTGACAACATAACCCTCTTTGAAGCTTACAGTGGAAGGAAACTGGGTATTGCTCATTTGAAGGTATTTGGCTCCGTTTGTTATGTTCACACTCCATCCGAGCTAAGACACAAACTAGAAGCTAAGAGTCTAAAGGGAGTTTTTGTTGGTTATGCAAAGTGTGAGAAAGATACATAATTTTTGATCCCCTCTCTAAACGGTTAATATTGTCGAGAGATGTTGTGTTTGATGAAGAGTCAAGTTGGGATTGGCAAGAAAGCACAGAAAAACATGTGACTATGCCCAATTATGAGTGGCAGTCTTTTGAGATACCAAGAAGTGAGTTCATTGAAGATGAGACTCAAGTTTCAAACAACCTGTCACCTGGTAGTTTAAGAGAAACTCCAAGTGGTACTGATGATACTCAGATTACTCCACAAGTCCAATCAAGTGAACCTTCTAGCAGAACATGTGAAGATGTGAGAGGCTCCCAAGTTTTTTATCATACTTCATTGAGAAGGAGAAATTTGGATGATGTACTTGCTCAATGCAACTTATGCATTATGGAACCTGAGAAGTATGAAGATGCTGCTGATGATGAGTCTTGGATGAAAGCCATGAAGAATGAACTTCCCTTGATTGAAAAAAATGCAACCTGGGAACTGGTAGACTATCGATCAAACAAGCTTGTAATTGGAGTTAAATGGGTGTTTAAGACCAAACTCAACCTTGATGGAACTGTACAAAAGAACAAGGCACGGCTTGTTGCAAAGGGATATGCCCAGAAACCAGGAATAGACTGTAATGAGACTTTTGCTCATGTTGCTAGGTTAGATACAATCAGAACTCTTATTGCTTTGGCTGCACAAAAGAATTGGAAACTCTATCAGCTTGATGTTAAATCTGCCTTTCTGAATGGTGTTCTAGAAGAGGAAGTATATGTAGAGCAACCTGATGGATTTGTGATCACAAGAAAAGAAGACAAAGTATATAAACTTCATAAAGTTCTCTATGGAGAGATTGACACCTATTTTGCACAATGTGGTTTTGTGAAAAGTCTAAGTAAAGCTACTCTCTACACCAAAGCAAGGGGATATGAAATTCTGATGGTATCAATCTATGTGGATGACATAGTGTATACTGGAAATAGCAATGATCTGTTGAAAGAATTCAAGGAGGATATGATGGTTAAGTATGAAATGACTGATTTGGGGCTTCTTCATCATTTTCTTGGCATAGGAATTATTCAAACTCACACTAGCATTTTTATTCACCAAAGAAAGTATGCCGTCTCTCTGTTGAATAAATTTGGTCTAAGTGAGTGCAAATCTGTATTCACACCTCTTGTTCCATCAGATAAGCTGTGTAAAGATGATGGTAATGGACCAGCAAGTGAGGAAAAATATTGAAGAATTGTGGGAAGCTTGCTATATCTTACTGCCACTCGACCAGATATAATGTATGCTGCCAGTCTCCTTGCTAGATTCATGCACAGTCCTACAAATAAACATTTTGATACTACTAAAAGGGTGCTAAGATACATTAAAGGTACCATGGATTATGGCTTGGAGTATGTGAAGGGAAAGAATGCAATGCTAATTGGTTTTTACGATAGTGATTGGGGAGGATCTGTTGATGATAGCAAAAACACCTCTGGATATGCTTTTTCTTTTGGCAATGGTGTGTTTTCATGGACCTCAGTGAAACAAAATTATGTAGCTCTATCCACTGCAGAAGTTGAGTATATCAGTGCTTCCGAGGCAACTGCTCAAGTTATTTGGCTTAGATTTGTCCTTTAAGATTTTGGTGAGTTACAAACTGAAGTACCTCCAGTTCACTGTGACAATACAGCTGCAATTGCAATCACCAAGAATCTAGTATTTCATTAGAAAACTAAACACATTGACAGAAGGTACCATTTCATCAAGGATGCACTACAAGAAGGAGTAATTGACTTAGTGTACTGTCCAACAAATGAGCAAGTTGCAGACATCTTCACTAAGGCTCTAACCAAAGATCGATTCAACTATCTCAGAAACATGCTTGGTGTGAAATCAACTCAAAACTTAAAGGGGAGTGTTGAATTATAAGTTGTGAGCTGATACGATAAGTTTTATGATTTAATTGGTGTATCCACTTGTGCTTAGAATGCCAAGTGTAAAGTTTTGTTTTGTAAAGGCCATGAGAGCCATGTGATGTGTGGCTGTGATCTAAGCTAGGAGTGAGAAGGAATCCAACAGTCCCTAACAGTTATATTCCTCATCTCACGACTTATGTGTGAGAGGTGTGTGAAAAATATTAGAAATTAAGAGAGCACCTTTGCATCTTGCAGAGAGTGAGAAGAAACCATTTTCCATTTTTATTATCTTCTTTGAATCCATTTAACAAGAGAATAATCAGAGCTTAATTCAATCTAACAATTTGTAGGCATATCTTTTTTTCATGAGTAACCTTCAACTTCGACAAAATAAGGAATTTGTCATCTATTTCTTTGTTTAGAATACCTTCAATATGGTGAATAATCATATCCAAACCAATCCTCTCTGTAATGTTGTTATTTTAGTCCCTAATGCAATGGCCGTAGCTAGTTTTATTGAGACAATGTCCTGTCTTCTCTCTCTTTTTGTTTTACTTTTTTCAGTCTGCCTCTATATCTCATGTTTGTGTATTACTTATTGGTAGTTGTTAAGACCAGCAATAGGAACACCCGCAAAAGTTATTATTATCAATAATAATATCCTTATATATATGCATAACATTTACTGGATCGATCCCATTTTTCACCTTCAGGGTAACATGTCATAATTTGATTCCTCTCTCTTGAATTATCAAAATACATATGGTACCGTACCCATAAATTAGGTTTGTTATTTGATAAGATAAGGTCATAACCTATTTCTTAGCTTTTATGTCAAATGATGATACATTTGGAATCATGTTAGGCGGGCTTGTGTTCATACAGATGTGAGATATAGATTAAGCTAATTTGTTAGTGCAGTTTCATACTCTCACTTACACTCAAATTATACATTCCAATTTATACTACCCATATTGAGGTTTTTTATATTTTGATAAAAATTCCTAGAGACTTTCGAAATTACATTAGCACCCCTTGGGTTTAAAATTGATTTCACAAAACTCCATCTGTTAAAATTTCATCCAAAAATTTATCATATAAAAAAAATTGAAATGAAAATTTTACCCTTAGAGGTAATTACAAACCCCTTGAAATAACCTCATCAAATTACTATTTTTCACATAATCGTCATGAGGCTTTAACCATTACAATATATAAATAGATTATGATCTTACAAAATTGAAGGAGCCAAACCTCTGAGTTGCCATGAGCACCATGTTCCTCAAGAGTGAGAAAAGAAAAAGAATCAAGAAATAGGAGATGTGAAAGAGTAATAGGTCTCTCAAATATGTCAAAAGAGCATATTTTAGATGTTCAATTGTTGCAGTCACCTTTGAATATTATTTCTCTCGTTATTTCTATTGTTAAGTATATCATGGGCTTATCAAACTTCCAACACATCCAATATCGCATGCATCGGATGAAAAGTAAAGGGATTAAATTAGCCAGGTCATCCCCTTTGTTTTCCCAGTACACATGTCAAAGGGTGCAATTCCAACCTCTCCAAATAACACGTTTCTTTGGATCCATGGCGCTTGCTGATCGAGGTGAAGAAACTTAGCAGAATTTCAGATACGCATCAAGGGCAGCCAAAATAGGAGATTAAAGAAAGTTTCAAGAAAAGAAGCTTAGCAGTCAAACAAATTAACGTAAGGGGAGACGAGGAATATTCAAAGTAGGAATTTATTTTCTATAATTTGCTTTAACCCTGTTTGTGTTTTCCTTCTTTTCAATGTTGTGCATTTAAATATTAATGAATACTTCATGTTGCTTTTTCTTCGAGTTTATACATTATATAATACATGTTTAATGCCTAACAATGCGTGTATAATTTAATTAGTGATGAGGAGCTAGACGAATTAGGCTGAAAAATTATTGTATGGTACCGAAATGTCGCATGTTTTATACCTCAAGTAATCATGAGGATTTGTTTAATTAAAGTACGATTTTATTTTCTTTAATTTATGTAACAGTGTTCGTGTTTATCTTCTTTCCTATAATATGCATTTGAATATTAATGAAAATTGTGCCTTAGCTTCATGTCAACATCTCTCCAACATGAGTATTGTAGTAGGAATTCTTACTTTTTTTAGAAAAGGGAGATAGAGAGGGGCTATCTTTTGTATTGATTTTACATATAATATAATACATATGGTTAATTAGTGCTATTTTTTCTATTGCGTGTAAATATAATACGATGGTCGATGATGAGGACTTGGAGTTAGAAATGACATGAAAGTGAAACTATAGGACAAATTATTT